CTTCCTTCTTTCCTCCCTTCCTCTCTTTCTATCTTTCTCTCTTTCAAGATGGAGTCTCACTCTGTCACCCAGGCTGGAGTACAGTGGCATGGATCTCAGGTCACTGCAACCTCTGCCCCCCTCCAGGTTCAAAGGATTTTCCTGCCTCAGCCTCTGAAGTAGCTGGGGTTACAGGTGACTGCCATCACGTCTGGCTAATTTTTGTATTTTTAGTAGGGACAGGGTTTCATCATCTTGGCCAGGCTGGCCTTGAACTCTTGACCTCGTGATCCACCAACCTCGGCCTCCAGAAGTGCTGGGATGATAAGCATGAGCCACTGCGCCTGGCCTGCATATACAATTCTCTTATGCTTGTTTTTCAAAGCTACAAAACCAGTGGTTACTGAACTTTTTCAGAGGTCACAGGTCCCTTTGATAATTTGCCACAAGTTAGGACCTCTGCCCCCCCACTCAAAATGCACATACACATAGCCTTGGGCAGCATATCAGGAGGCGGGGGGACTTCCCGAAACCCATCCTCTGCGCTGGGTTAGACGGCGAGTGCCCGGGGGCCAGCAGTAAACTCCTATGTCTGGACTTGGTCATTATTGACCCCACAGTTTCTGTGACTTTTAGTGATAGGTATTCAGAACAAAGCCTGTTTGGAGCTGGACTTGGCAGTAGCTGGAGTCCCTGACTCCCATGGTCTGTGCCTGGCATTCAAATTCTTTCCAGTGTGTGTTGCTATCCTCACCGTTCTTTAGGTTTTTTTTTTCTTTTTCTTCCTAGATGGTCTATTTTTTGGAAGGTCTTTGGGCTTGGAAAGCACATGTATTTTATGAGCTGTGTACCTGTGCTACAGCCTCCTTCTCTTCTGTCTGGATACCACCCTTCGAGACCCTACTCAAATGCTGCCTCCTCCCAGAAGTCTTCCCTCCACTGGGAAGTAAACTCTGAATCCGTACTTACTCCTCTCTCGTGGTGCTCATTACACGCCATGTTCTAGTTGATACCATTTACCTCTGTGACCCAGTGGTATACCTCATGTACTGTGTTTGACGCAGAATGGCCCATTTTAATGCTCCTCTACTCCGCCTTCTGGGTTCAAGCAATTCTCCTGCCTCAGCTGGGATTGCAGGCGCCCACCACCATGCCCAGTTAATGTTTGGTATTTTAAGTAAAGATGGGGTTTCACCATGTTGGCCAGGCTGGTCTCAGGTGATCCACCCGCCTTGGTCTCTCAAAGTGCTGGGGTTGCAGGCGTGAGCCACCGCGCCTGGCTGACGTTCTTAGGATTGTGACAGTGACAGGGAGATCAGCTTTTGGTTGTATTATTGTATTTACATTCTCTGCGTGCACTTGCTCTTTCATGGCTGGCACATCTTCAGCCCGTCCCGTGGCCCCTTATTTCCCCCCACTGCCCCACTCCTACCGCATTTGACTGTAAATTCCTGCAAGACGGGGACAGCTGTGTAGCCACCTCTTGTCCAGGGCCCACAGCACAAGTGCCGCAGTTTGCAGGCCAGGGCCCCAGCGAGATCGCCTTAGGATGTCCTCCCTTTTCCTCTGTGGGAGGCAACGTTTTCTTCATATATTTCAAACAAAGCCACACATCACAACAGACCGAATACAGAAACACGTAAGAGAATCCAGCCATCTTTTGTGAAGCCAGATATTAGAGAAATTTGCAACATTTCTTTGTCAAACAGTGTCACTCTTCTGCCTCATTTAAAAATTATTATTTGGAAAATACAAATTATTTTTCATAAATTAGATTATATGTGTGAACATGGAAGGGTTTATTATTTTAGAAGCATTAACAGATTTAAAAGCTTTCTCAGTTTTAATTTCTAATGTACATATTGCTATCTCACAGAATGAACACTGCGGTCCTCAATTATTATCATTACTATTTTTGAGACGGAGTTTCAGTCTTGTTGCCCAGGCTGGAGTGCAATGGTGCGATCTTGGCTCACCACAGTCTCTGTCTCCCAGGTTCAAGTGATTCTCCCGCTTCAGCCTCCCGAGCAACTGCGACTATAGGTATGCGCCACCATACCCGGCTAATTTTTTTATTTTTTAGTACAAATAGGGTTTCACCATATTGGACAGGCTGGTCTTGAACTCCTGACCTTGTGATCTACCTGCCTCAGCCTCCCAAAGTGCTGGGATTACAAGCGTGAGCCACTACGCCCGACCTCCTCAATGATTTTTAAGATAGAAAAAGTGTCCTGGGAACAGAGAGTGTGAGCTGTCCTCAGGCACTGCCTTACATATGGCAGATGCTCACAGATGCTTGTGACGTTCGCAAGGGACTGACTGAATAGGTAGCTTTCTGTTGCTCCTAGGATTTGGAAGCTGAGACTGGGGTGGAGGGAAGGGAGAAGGCACCTGTTGATAGAGGGCCCAGTGGAAGGTGAGGCTTGTCAGGGTCTGCCAGCAGCAGCTGCTCTTTGGAGCCGTGTTGGCTCTGATGGCAATACTGGTTGGGGAACCTGGGTCTGAGGCAGTGGGGGCTGGGCATAAGCGTGATGTGTCATGGGGGCTTCAAGCAGCTCACTCTGTCCAGTCCCCCTTAGTGCTGATGGGCAGGAGAAACTGTGTGAATCTGCCTCTCTGGGAGAGGAACTGAGCCGAATGTTTTTCTAGAAACCTCTGGCTGTCAAATCACTGGGTGTGGGCTCTACAGACAGTGTTGCGGCCTCAGAAGAGAGATTGAGGCTATGGGTACCTGTCCCTGCTCTGCTGTGACTAGCCATGTGCCCGCTGGCGAGGCACGTAACTGCCAGCTTACTCAACCATATGGTGAGGACGAGATAAAATGTCTGTGGAGTGCCTGGCACATGCTGGGTGCTCAGTACATTAGTGACTCCATTAGTCAGATGTCATTAATAATAAATGCTCAAAAGAAGGAGGCTGGGAGGCGGGGCTAACGAGGAAGGGTCCTGGAGGGAGTTCTTCCTGGTGTGGGATAAGTTGAAGTGTGGCACAGATGACGGTTTCTCAGCCTCTGCACTCATAACCTTTTGGGCTGGATAATTCGGTCCTGTGAGTGGTAGGATGTTCAGCACATCCCTGGCCTCTACCCGCTAGATGCTGGCAGGGAAGCCTCTCTCCCGGGTCTTTACAACCAGAAATGCCTCCAGATATTGCCAAGTGTCCCCTGGGAGGTACAATTGCCCCTGTTGAGAACCACTGGTGTAGAAAGTCACCTGACAAGGGCTCCCCCACAGGACACCGGCTTCCCTGTGGTTTCCCCAGAAAGACATCACACCAGCCACATGCAACAGATTGGGCTCACTCACTGCAGACAAATTCTGCCAAGAGACTCTGCTTCCAAGAGAACAAGAGGCCTCCTGACTCTGATCCCCTTTCCCGAGGAACCCTGTCGCTGATAGTGACCATTTCCCTCAGCAGTTGCGCAAACAAGGCCCCGGGGAAACAAGCAGGCTGACCAGGACAGTGAGATTGGTCAAGGAAAATCTGGACAATACCCAGAAGCCTGGGGGAGGCCGTCCCTCCCTTCAACCTTGACCTCAGCACGGAATGCTTCCAATTCCCACGCTGCGAAAACTGTCTGGGCCAATCGACAAGTAGAATGGATAAGTTATACCCAGAATGCTAGGGCAGTGAGAACGAATGAACCTCAGCTCCACGAAACTCCACGGTTGACTTTCGCAAACGTCAGGTCGAATGAAAGAAGCCAGGCGCAAAAGAGCAACTGATGTGTTTCTCTTAACGAAAAATCTCCCCAGAGGCAAAATCATATAGGTTAAGGTTCAAAGGGCACACAAGGAAGGCTTTGGGGACTGGTTCAGTTTGCAAGGATTTATTGAGGGTTTATGATTTGGCCCTTTTCTAGATATATGATATAAACTTTAAAAAAGTAAACAAATAAACACAACATTCTTGGCCAAAAGGCAGGAAAGGCTCTTTAGCAAAATCTCTATGAACCAAGGGAATGAAGATTTCCAGTAGTTTTACCTGTATGCTCTAGATTATTATGTAAGGGTCATTTTTGGATGTGGCTTTATAAAAGACATGATATATCAAAAATAATGAGTATAGTGCTTGGCACAGAAAATACTTCATGAGTGGTGATAATTAATGCTACTACTCAATTATTAACTGACCTAGGATGTAAAAATAATAGTCAAATATAAAGGGATAGTCCTTTGTCTTAAAGGGGGAAAATGTTTCTGAAAGTTTTAGGTACATTCCCTGTTGGTAAATTTCTAATTCTCAGAGTTCTCAGAGCTCTCTCCAAGCTTAGTCCTAGAGAAGAGAAAAATCTTCCTTTGCATTACTGGCTCCTGACCAGTGACCAGTACCATAACGAAGACCCTAACACCTGTCTGAATTGGCCAAATTGTTCAATTAACTCATCCATCATTTATTGGTCCACTGGTTAGCCTGGAAGCTGGGCTCCACTCTACATGCCTCATCAGACATTTGATCTGTCTTTGGCCACCCATCTCTTTTATGAATTCACAAACAAAACGGGCGGGACGGCTGTGGGATTCTTCCACCTGACGAAAACACTGGCAGAATAACAAAGTCTAGAAATTGTGCAATGAAAGCTCTACTTCAGACCTGGCTGGATATGGAACTCTTACAAATTCCTCTCTCTCCTGAGAGCCGGGCGATGAGACAACCCCAGAACCATAGAGCATTGCATTGCAAGCCTGGCTCCCTGGCTGCAAATTAGATGCCACATTAACTCCCAGGAAGATTCGAATTGCTTTCAGATCGTTCTCCACTGAATAACTTTTAGCATGACTGTTTCCATATCAGGTATGCAAGAGGCTTTCCTGCTAGCTGCGGGCACTCTTAGAAGACTTTTAATCCCAGGGTGATTTTCTAAAATTTCATTTCTGTTTACAAATGGCTGTGTGTCCCCGTGAACCTGTGAAGTCATGTATAGAACATGCTCATACAGTCAGAAAACCCTGGGTTCTTTGTGACACACATTTTAAAAAGAAAAATCCATGGCCATCTATGGAGAAAAGTCAGGCTCTTACCTGGTTCCAGGCTTTGTCCGTGGGCATTTGGTTGGATAAAGGTGGATAAAACCAAGAGAATGGTGACACTCAGGCGACTTGTGTCCATTTCTCCGTTTCACCCAGGGTCCAGGCTTTCTTGCTAATTTCTGAAGCCAAAGAGACCAGAATGCCTATTAGCTACTTTGTAAGGGAAGGCTGCCCATTAATAATTAACCTCTCAACATGCTATCCACTGATCAGATACTTTGCTTACTGGCCCCCAACTGCAAATCCACTTAAATTTATTTTTAAAAGGTTGATTCAGCGAAGCGCTGCTTATCCTAACACATTTTGAGAATAAAATACCTTGGTATGTATTCTTACCTTCCGGGGCCAAGGTCAGAGTTGCAGATTAATCAATTTGAAGCTACTGTGTTGTGTTTGGAAATTGTGCCAAAGTTCAGGGGTAGGTGTTTCCGCGTGCCTGCCTAAGCCTCCCAGTGACAAGGGGGTGACAAGGCACTGCAAGGGGTTATGCATGCTCAGGAAACTGGCTTTTCAAATTGCAGGCTAAGCCCCAAGAAGACAAAAAGGGCCCTGCTATGCGGAGAGCCCCCGGGGGCCGGGGGTCCAGATTTCTGTTAGGTTTAGTGAAATTGGGGATGCTTGTGGTCAAATGTGGTGGGGCAACATTTCTACAGCTGAAAGGGGCAGAAAACCTTTCACCCCGTGTGAAAAGGAGCTGACGGAGAAGCAAAGATGCCCTTGCCAAGTGCCCCACTGAAGGGTGGTCCCAGAGTAGACACCCCTCTTCCCCTGCGTGTTCATCATTCATGTTCCAGCTGGGTAGAAGACTGAGGAGTGAGACCACTCAGAAAATCAGGGAGGGAAAAGGCTACTGTCCATGGCTCTCATGATATTTTCGGGCCTCTAGTTTTATTTTATTTATTTGTTTATTTTTTGAGACGGAGTTTCGCTCTTGTTACCCAGGCTGGAGTGCAATGGCGCGATCTCGGCTCACCGCAACCTCCGCCTCCTGGGTTCAGGCAATTCTCCTGCCTCAGCCTCCTGAGTAGCTGGGATTACAGGCACATGCCACCATGCCCAGCTAATTTTTTGTATTTTTAGTAGAGATGGGGTTTCACCATGTTCACCAGGATGGTCTCGATCTCTTGCCCTCATGATCCACCCGCCTCGGCCTCCCAAAGTGCTGGGATTACAGGCGTGAGCCAGCCTCTAGTTTTATTTTAGCTTTCTTCATTTGTTCAACATTCACGTATTTTGGCATGCCTACTATGTGCCAGGCACTGTTCTAGGCATGTGGGAGGTACAAGGCCTTCTGTGCCGGTGGAGGTGGGAGGAGTTGGATGATGGATAATAGACATAATAAAGAAGAGTTTTATGTGGACTGGCGGACTGTAATGAGAACCGCAGGAGAAGCAGAGTTAAGCAGGTTGGGGAGAAGGTAGGGATTTTAAGCAGTGTGGTCAGAGTGAATTGCATTGGGAGTTAAACTTTGAGCCAAGGTTTGAAGGAAGTGAGGGAGTTGCCCCTGCGGGCATCCTGAGGAGGAGACTTTCGGGCAGTCAGTGCAAAGGCCCTGAGGTAGGAGTATGCCTGGCGTGCTGCAGGAATAGTGCGGAGGCCAATGAATGGGGAGACATGACAAGGACTTTGACTTTTATACGATAACACATGGGGAGCCACTGTGAGCAGAAGGGTGATAGGATTTGTGTTCGAGTTTTAAAAGATCACTTTGGTTTGCAAGTGAGCCCGGGTGCAGTGGAGAGGTCTGTTACAGTGACCCAGTGAGAGGTGACGGTGACGGGCTTGGCCCAGCATGGAAATAGGGCAACTGTTGAGTATTGGATGGGTGCTGGATATATTTTGAAGGTAGAGCCAACAGGATTTTCTGACTGCTGAGCTGTGTGATGCGGGAGAAAGAGAAGAGTTGAGGATGACTTCAAGGGTTTTGTCTTGAGCAAGTAGATTAACGGGGTCGCTGTCAGCTGGGGAGGGAAGGCTGTGAGTGAAGGTTTGGTGGGGGAAGATGAGAGATTCCGCCTTGGCCGGGTGCGGTCGTGAGATGGCTTTTAGCTATCCAAGCGGCAGTGGGCAAATGAGATAACGTGGTAATAATGACTGCCTGGACAAGCCCACTGAAAGGGCCGTGTGAAGTGATCAGCAGACTTGGACGAGCTTGACCCAGCCCAAAGCCTGTGGTCTGTCCTGTGGCTGCACCTTCCTCCCCAGCCCTGCAGCTTCCACACCATCCTGTCAGATAAACAATTGCTTTTTGTTGTTGTTGTTGTTGTTAAGACCGAGTCTTACTCTGTTGCCAAGGCTGGAGTGCAGTAACGCGATCTCAGCTCACTGCAACCTCCGCCTCCCAGGTTCAAGTGATTGTCACGCCTCAGCCTTCTTAGAAGCTGGGACTATAATCGTGTGCCAGCATGCCTAGCTAATTTTTGTATTTTAAGTAGAGATGGGGTTTCATCATGTTGGCCAGGCTGTTCTCTAACTCCTGACCTTGTGATCCACCTGCTTCGGCCTCCCAAAGTGCTGGGATTACAGGCGTGAGCCACCACACCTGACAGATACACAATTTCTGAGTAAGGGCTTCTGCCCTGAATACCTGGCTGGCTCCTGCACAGTTAAGCAGGATCTGAAAGTTCCGCTTTTTTTCCTATAACACTGGCACGTAAAACCAGCTGGCTACCCACCTCGGGCTCCTCTGCCCTGGGCCAACCCTCATCTCTTCTCCTCTGGGTGCTGCCGGTAACCACCCCCACTCCCCATTTTATTATGGTCATGAACTCATCAAAAGACCCCAATGAATCTAAGTGCCTCTGAAATACCAACCCTGTGCCCCCACCCACCCCCCAAATTTCTACAGCGTATACTTTCTTACTGCTTTCTACACAGGAAGCGGCCTTCAACGTGGTTTCTAGCTCCTGTCATTCCATCACAAACCACCCAAAATTCCTTTACCATCATCTCATGTCAACTCAAATTCTATGAGGCTCTCCTGGAAAATGACGAGGAGGAATGGATCTCTGTCCCCTTTCAGGCTTTCGGGGGTGGTATCTGCTTTCACCTCTACCCAACCTCTTCAGGCCTGCCGAATCACCAGGTCCCACCTTCCAGTGGTGGTTTTAACACACAGGTTCTGTTGTGTATTCTTGAAGCTGACCACGGAGGCTACTGGGAGAGAAGAGTGGAGGACTTCGTAGAGTATCAGGTTTCTTGGGAGGGTCCTCAGTCTGTCACTCGCTATGTGTGATATTACATAACCTTAATGAGTTCCATCTCCTCACCTATATAATGGGGACAGCATGTACCTGAGATAATATTTTGAGATATCAACTTTTTTTTTTTTTTATTATTGAGACGGAGTTTCACTCTTGTTGTCCAGGCTGGAGTGCAGTGGCGCGATCCCGGCTCACCGCAACCTCTGCCTCCTGGGTTCAAGCAATTCTCCTGCCTCAGCCTCCCGAGTAGCTGGGACTACAGGCGCATGCCACCATGCCCAGCTAATTTTTGTATTTTTTAGTAGAGACGGGGTTTCACCATGTTGACCAGGATGGTCTCCATCTCTTGACCTCGTGATCCACCTGCCTCGGCCTCCCAAAGTGCTGAGATTACAGGCTTGAGCCACCGCGCCCAGCCCTCAACTTCTTATTTTTCTCCCAAACTGTCTCCCTTGTTTTTCCTTCCACTTAAGGGAGGCAAAGTAGAGAGAAGACTACAAATCTGTTGTCTTCCAAAAATGTAGGACCAAGTCAATTTTATTTTATCTTTCATTTTATTTTATTTATTTTTGGAGACAGGGTCTTCCTCTGCTGCCCTGGCTATTCATACACTCCTGGGCGCAAGTGATCATCTTGCCTTGGCTACCCAAGGTGTGGGCAGGTGAATTCTAACCAACAAAGGAAAGCAAAAGGCTAAAATACCTTGAAGGGATGTAAAGGGGAAAGAAACCCCTCCCTTCCCATCACTAGAAAGACAATATCTTGGGCTTTGCAGGTGATGTGGAAGGGGGAGGTTTGTCTGTGGGTGTGAGAGCAGAGGGGACAGTCCCTTGCTTCCCAGAAATCCTGCTGGAAGAACCCAGAGAGGAAATGGCTGTGTTGGCCAAAGGGCAGAAGATAAACATGGCTTGATGTAGGGAAGGAGAGCGGTGGCCTCTGGGGCCAGCAGGTCGTGTTGATGGGAGGATGGGCCCCTCAGTGGCCACCAGTGTGGACTGGTGACAGAGGAATGGGTCACACTGCCCTGACCCCGTGCCTGGCTGTTGTGTTGGTCCAGAACTGTGGCAGAGCTACTGAGGTTGGGGATGGGGTTTGGAGAAGAAATCCAGAAGGCCTGAAGATAGGGATTTGGAGTCAGTAATTTAGATGGGTTACAGAGATTGAAGAAACTGACTGCATTTCAGAATCTGTGGACTGAAATTAATCCCTCGACAAACAGAAGTAAGCTATGAATATCAGAAATCTGTGTGTAAGGTGTCCAGCCAAGCACCTGGTTCTAGCAGAAGGTCAGTAAATTGTAATGATCTGATTTGTGCGCTGTATACTTAGCAGTCAAGAGTTCATGCTTTGAGGCTGGGACGGTGGCTCACACCTGTAATCTCGATGCTTTGGGAGGCAGAGGCAGGGGTTTGAGACTACCCTGGGCACCATAGCAAGACCCCATCTATTCAGAAATCAAAACAAAACGTTAGCCTGTTGTGATGGCACACACCTGGAGTCCTAGGTACTCAGGAGGCTGGGGCAGGGGCATTGCTTGAGCCCAGGAGGTGGAGGTCAGTGAGCTATGAACACACCACTGCGCTCCAGCCTGGGTGACAGAGTGAGACCCTATCTGTAAAAGAAAAAAATTATGGTACAGCCTTGAGAATCAAACAGATATGGGCTCAAAGTCCTGGTCTACCCCTTGTACTTACTAGCTGAGTGACCTTGGATAAGACATTGTGACTGAGCTTTAGTTTTCTTAATCTGCCTAATGGGGCTGGTAATCTCTCCCTAGTCTGACTGAGTGAGGCAATGCATGTGAAGCCACCAGCAATCCTAGACCACAGGACATAACTGATGAGAGCTAATATTATTATCTTTTATGTTTAAATTCACTGAGGGGATCAGGAGGGTGTCCAGGAGGTAGATAACAA